AGTCCACTCCTAGACCCGTGTCATGCTTGAACTTGCTAAGCGCCCACTTCAAAACCTCAATGTCTGGCCGAGGAAGCGGGGGGGCCTCGTCTGCACGACGATGATGCTGGGCAGTGAGCGGGCACTGATGGCTGCACCAGTACCGGCACCACTCGGACTTCAAGGCCTCAACGGCTTGGCCCCTTGCAGCGCCCAGCCCTGAGGAGAAAGCGGGCCAACTGCAGGAGGGCGCTCCTTAGAAAAAGCATGCGCCGCCTTGCCGCCCTTAGTGACAGACTCCTGAGCCCAAGACCTCAATTTAGCCCATTTCCTGTTACAGTGATCCCTGAACATGTGTTCGTACGTGGATTGAGCAGTCGGAGTGAGATAACCCAGATCGGCCCCATCAGAGTCCTCAATGATCCCAATCAGCTGGGGCAGGCTATGGGCAAGGCACAAAAACTTGGGACCGAGAGACTTCTGGTCCAGCTTCAAGAGGCCAGAGCGCAGCGTCTGCCCATACACGGAGTTGGACAGGTCGTCCAGGCAGGCCGTCGCTTTGACCAGTAACGAAACTAGAGTGCGCCACGATCGGAGCTGAGCCGTGGTGTTAGCAAACCATTTCTTGTTGACAATCGTGTCCAGGGAAACCTGTTTTCTCCTGAAACCAGACGAACGCCCAACATACAGCTCCTGCTCAGCCCCTTGGATGTCAAAAGCACGGCACAGCTCCAGTTCAGTAAAATCCATCCACTGATCCCATACACGCGTCAGCTCCATGTCCCCCGTGTCCCCAGAATGCCACGACCAGTTGTAAATGACGGGCTCTCTATCACACCCCGTGGTCTTCTGGGTCGGAAATCGCTTCCACACACAACGTGCGCGGATTGGAATATTCAGCGAAACCCCCGCGAGCGCTATTTCCACAGGGGGGTGGGGCGACACTGGAGCATCGTTCCAAACCCGCACCTTCTCAACGCACTGACAGAGCCCAGCCGATAAAATAAAGTAGTCATACACCTGCCCCTTACCCGCAGCACAGGTCGTCATCGATGGAGCCACGATGGTAGCCCCTAGCTCGGTACACCAGGAGGTCAAACCTGCGGTCTGGGGCCCCATGTTAGCATCACATCCCAGGATCCAAGGCACCGCGAGGCTCCCAAGAAACTTGCCAAGACCCGCGAGGAGGCCCACGTTGTCCCTGCTGACTCCCTGGGAGTGGTAGAAGTACACAGACAACCAAACGCAACCTCCAGGAACAACACCGTTAACATGTCTAGCTATCACTCGGCCCTGTGCTTCAGGTACGGACTTCAGACTCTCCAATGATACTGTGCACTGGTTGATTTGCGCGAGGCCTCCAGCCATCACTCCTGCCGAAGTCTCTAATGCACCAGATCCTGTGGGTACTGCAGGGCAGAAGTCGATGTTGAGGCCCTTCGACCTCATCGAGCCTTTAAACTTAACAATCTGAGCAGCCTCCAAGACTCGAGTCTCCTGCCCAGCCCAAAACTGGGGCTTCGGGCCCCTCACGTCCTCCATACGCCAATCCAGGATAGTTTCCCAAGACGCCCAGGAGTTGGCATTACAGGAGAAAAACACCCATCTATTCCTCCTGCCACTGCCTTTCTTGCCCATCCTGATCCTGGTGCGGCTCGGGGAGGGAGAAGCTCCAGCTGACTTAGCCGATCCTGACGGCTGCATCGGCGTAGCAGGTGCGGCAGACGAAGAAAGCGCCGCGATCCCTGCTCCTCGCCGCCAGCACTGTGAGACAAGCAACGAGCCGACCTGGCCACTGAGACGCTCCCCCGATTTGAGGCCTTGGCCACCCGCAGGGCTCGGGGGGTCTGCAGCTGCCAGGTCTGTCCACGAACTCGTGACCGATGTCGTCGATCCTGGCCACGATGAACACGCCGACTCAATACTACCCACGCTTCTGTCTCTTGACAGCAGCCGCCTGGAGCTGAGACTGTAGTTTGCGCCTGGCCTCTCTGAGAAACTCACGCGCTGCTTCGACTCCATCTCCCTCAGCTGCTGCCGCACGCTCCTTGGCTTGCCGTAGAGCCTCGGCAGCCTGTTCGAGGGACAGCTCGTCGGCCTCGTCAATCTCCATGTCATCATCATCATCATCATCATCATCACCTGGCACAGCAGGAGGAGGGACAGCACCGTTGCGAGCAGCGACCGCTTGAGCCTCGAGCATGCCGAACAAGGCCTCGAGATGCTTGGAGGCCTTCTCGTCACCTTTCTGCTCGCGGAACCACTCGCGAAACTCCAACGAGGCCGACCCCAGCTGCTGCTCCTCCAGCTTGAGGACAGGCCCGTCCGACTTGGCCAGGGACCTGGCGAAGCACTCCTTGGCCTCCTGCTCGAGGGCTGCGACCTGCCTCTGCGCCTCCACCAGGGACTCTCTGGCGGACTTGAGGCGCTCCTCGAGCATCCTGCGCGCCTCCTCCACCTCCTTCGTGACCGAGGCCAGCTTGGTCTCGAGCGTGGTCGCAGTGGTCCTCGCCCTCTCAAGCCTGGTGGTGATGCTGTGCTGCTGGACATGTGGCGGCTTCGCATCATTGATGGCCTTGTGAATCTTGGCGGCCATCTCCTCCGCCAGCATTCTGTCTTCCTGGTGGACTGAGTTGCGAGCCGCCCTCTGCCAGTGTGCCAGTCTCTCCTTGGCCTCCTTCTGGTCGTCGGGCGGGGGCAATCCTCCTGCGCTGTCGCCCTCCATCCTCCACGGCGGGGGAGGCGAGGACGAAGTGTACGGTGCCGACTTCTTCTCGAGGCCCTCCAGGCGCCCCAAGATCTTCTTGAGCGTGGCGTCGAGCGGACTGCCCGTACTCCACTGCCCCTTCGGCTGCGCACCCTTGTTGGCACCACCTGCGACCACCTGCTCATGGGCGGCCTTCGCACTCTTCTGGACTGCTGGCGGCGCGGCCGCTCCGCAGGCACATTTGATGCGAGACGCCCAGTTGCCAGAGCGGTGGCATTTCGTGCAAGCCCACAGCGGCTTCCGCGGCCCCAAGAGGACATCTCTCGAGCCCATGGACACAGCGCCGCCGACGGGAAGGTGCCAGAACGCGTGCTCACCCAGCCCGGGCAGGCGCTGGGGGTGAGCACAGGAAAGAAATCTGAAAGCACGGGGGCCTTGAGCCGCCCCCTTGGCTGCAGTCAAGCTCCAACGTCGGGAGCAGCGTTGGAACTTGAGCCAAAATGGCTACGGGTCTCCTCCTTCTCCTCTCCCCTCCTCCTCCTCCCCCTCCCCCCCTCCTTCTCACCTCCTCCCCAGTCCTCCGCCTCCCCTCCCCCCCCACGGCCCTTGCCGGACCTTCGACCGTCGAAGAACGACTCGGGATGGAAAGCCGGCCCTGGGGGAAGGCCCAAGACCTCTGGGGGTCCACGACCTCTGGGGAAGGCCCAAGACCTCTGGGGGTCCACGACCTCTGGGGGCCCACGCTGTGAACAGAGCGCGACGTCGGGTGTCCGAGTCCGCAGCGCCCGGCCCTGCACGGGGCGAGGGGGCATTCGGCGCGAACCCCGCGACCCCCTCTCTCGGGGGCCCGGCCAAACCCCGGCTGGCGGCGGGCACTTAACACGCCGGACGGGCACCTCGCCCACCTCCAGTGCGCAAGAGGAGGAGGAGGAGGAGGAGGAGGAGGAGGAGGAGGAGGAGGAGGAGGAAAGATGAGGAGGAGGCGGAGGAGGAGGAGGACGAGGGAGGAGGAGGAGGAGGAGGAGGAGGAGGAGGAGGAGGAGGAGGGGAAGGAGGGGGATGAGCTCCTCAGCAGATGGAGGACGAGGACGATCCATTTTTGTATAATTTTGTCCACCCTCCCTGTTGGCAGAGCGCCGCCAGGGAGCTGATCTCCCCCCCCTGGCGGCAGAACCCGCTTGGGGGGGGGAGGCTGCGTCGGCCACGACACCAGAGCCATCAGCGTCGGCGTCAGATAGGAACCCCTGATCCAGCTCCTTCCGCTCTTTCTCCTGCTCCCCCTCCCTGACCGCGAAGACAGCGGACCAGACGTCACACACACACACACACACACACACTCAACGCCGCACTGTGCTCTGACATGCCAGACCGTGCCAAGAGCGGACCTGGCCACACACGAGCCGACCAGACCTGGCCAGGCAACTCCAGGGCAGGCCAGGCCGCAGCGCAGGATCGCGCATCAAAAGGTGGGGGCCACCAAGGGGGCCCAGGTCCACCAGGACCCCCGTCGGCGGACACAGAACGATCAGCGCAGTGCGCATGGCGAAGGTCGTCAGGTGGAGGGGGGTGGGGAGGAGGAGGAGGAGGAGGAGGAGGAGGAGGAGGAGGAGGAGGAGGAGGAGGAGGAGGAGGAGAGGAGGAGGAGGAGGAGGGAGCAGGAGCAGGAGGAGGAGGGGAGGAGGAGGAGGAGCAGGAGCAGGAGATGGAAGAGGAGGAGGAGGAGGAGGAGAAGGAGGAGGAGGAGGAGGACGACGAGGAGAGGATGGGTTGGAGGCGCAGGGCGTCAAGCGCCGCGCCCTGCGCCCAGCTTGCCCCGCCCTCCCCTCCTCTTGCGTGTCGGCAGCGCGCCCAGGCGTGGGAGGCGTGGGAGGCGCCCGTGTCGGCGGGGGGGGGGGGGGGGCAGCGCGGGCGTGCCTTCCCAGAAGGCTCGGAAGGGCTCTGGCCTCCCGCGCAGCTCTCGGGGCCCTCTCCGACGACGCAGAGGGCTTCCCAGAAGGCCACAGGGCTTCTGCGAAGCCCTGCCGCCCTCCGCGAAGGCCCGCCCCCTCTCGCTTCCCCCTCTCGGCGCGCCGACGAGAGACCAGGAGCGCACGCCGACGTGTCAGGAACCTGCCCTGCCTTGCTGGCCTGGGCCAGGAGGGTCAACGCAACGGTCCACGGGTCCTGGACGGGAGCCAGGGCCGGCGGTGGTCCACGGTTGCCAGTTCCCCATGGTCGCCTTCTGTGCATTTCTTCCTCCGCCCCGCTCCATGCCTCTTCGGACATATCTCTTCCCCGCCCTTCCCTCTCTCAGCCTTCAGACAAATGCCCCGGCCTCCTCCGCTGTGGGCGGGCCGCTGTCGCCGAGCCGGAGCGCCTCGCGCCTCTTCGCCTCGTCCTGGCGCCGTGGCGCGCTGGTCGCACGGAGGATCACGACGGGCCGGAGACGCACAGAGCCCAGCGGGCCATGGCGGGACAGTCGTCGTGCTGCCCTCCAGGGACACCTCCGCGAGGAGCGAAGAGCCCTTCCGGCCACGGCGGGCCTCGCGACCACCCATGTTTGGCCCTCCGGCCTGGCCTTGGGCCGGGGAAGCGGCGCGGAGGCCGGAGCCCTCCCCTTCTGAGCCCGCGGTGGCCCGCACTTGCCAGGCACTAGCATGCTTTACCATCGGCGGAGAAATGCACACACACACACACGTCCTGCACTTCTAGTCGGGCTCATGTCTCATTGCGCTCGTTCCTAGCTGTTCATGGCCCCCCAGTGGCCAGGAAGAGGCCCGGGACAGCAGGATCAGAAATGAACGGATCTTGGCCCCCAGAAGATCGAAGAGCCTTCGAACAATTAGAAATGAACAGTGTGCAGCTGCTCGCGCGTGCCGCGGACGACCGATGAGGATGCATGAGTGCCCCGGTGCGGACTCGCGAGCCCTCAGGGACGCAAAGAAATAAGAAGAAGAGGCGCCATGAGATCTGGGGAGACATCATGGCCCACGCCATGATATGGTGGGCGTGTTTTCCACCACCACTACCATAAGTGGGAGGGGGAGTGGGTCCTCCTCCTCCTCCTCCTCCTCGTCCTCCTCCTCATCCTCTACCTCCTTCCCCCCTCCAACTTATGGTGGTGGTGGTGGAAAACAGGCCCATGATGATATCCACCCCCCCTAGTCATCACCCCCCTCTTTTCCGCCCCCGACCTCCTGCCCATCTGGCCCTGGGCGCGCCGCTCCGGGTCTCTGCCGCCGCGCGGGCCGCTCCGGGCCAAACCCAGGGGCACGCCCGCTGCCGGAGGGCCGCACGTGGGGCGCGGAAGGGCAGACTCTGAAGTCGGGCCTGTCTTCCTACACGGGCACCCTGGACGAAGAATGAACAGTCGGCCAAACATGCACCAAAACGGCCAACGAATGCGAAACAAATCGTCCCCATACTATTTTGGGATTCTTATTGAATATCCCTCCTGTAGAGGGACAGGCCCGACTGAAACATACTTGTGCCGTGTTTCCTCCTGGGAGGCGTGCGTCCGACCAGATCCAGCTAGTACAAACAGATCGTAGCATATCGCTTCCCGAGCGGTGTGGCCAAAAAACGCCCGCCACAGAGCTTCTGCTACACGATTTCCCGGCGTGCGCGCCGCCCCTGGGGTGCAGACGCACAAATCGTCTTAGCATGTTCGAATGACTCCTTGGACTTGCTCCCCGGCACGCACAACGGTGGCTGACTCACGGCCTGATTGTGGCTCCCTCCCGCGGCCTCTCCGGCCTTCCCCCCCACCCCGCGTCCCTCCCCCCGTACCTGACTGTGCCCCGGCGCGCCCCGTCACTGCTTGACCGCCGTTTGAAGAGGAGGAGGAGGAGGAGGAGGAGGAGGAGGAGGAGGAGGAGGAGGAGGAGGAGGAGAAGGAGGACGAGGAGGAGGAGAGGCCACAATCATAGATTTTCCCATGGTTTTGAAGGATTTTCGCACTTGCTCGACCGCCGATCAAAAAAGCTAGGTGCTCCCGAGCACAGGCTGCCAACGGGGGACGTTCCACCTCTCGAGCGCCCGCGCCGCGCCGCGCGCCGGGGCGGGCACAGATACGGCGTGCACTGGGGAGTGCACGGTCATCGCCCCCCGCTCGTTGAGCTTGGGGGGGGGGGAGGCGCACGCGCCGTCCCCCCCCCTCGTTGAGTTTGGGTCGGGAGGGGGCTCGAGGGGGGGGGGGGGGGATGGCAGTTTTGAAGCTCAGGCTCCTGGTCCAGGGGGGGGGATGGCCGCAGGGCGTCGGCAGTCTCCGCAGGGGGGGGGTCGGGATTGGGGAGGTGGCGGTGCCTCGTGCAACACGAGGAGTGTGAGCACGTGCTCGCAGTCATCGTGCCGCCACAGGGGGCGCCCCGGGATGAGCGAGGCCGCGCGTGGGCCCCCACGAGCGCCCGGGTGCGCGAGGGGCGCTGCGGGGAAGAGGCGCGGAGGCACCCGGGGAGCAGCGAGCCCCCGCCGAACCCGAGCGGCTCCCTGCCTCCAGCCTTTGACTGCACGTCCGACCCCGTGCCAGCCGCACGTCGGGGCGCGGCGGGATGCTTGCCGGGTGCAGGGCTCAGGGTGAAATCCATCGGGGCGCTTGCATCTCGCCTCTGAAATTCAATCCGTCCTGTGAGTCACCTTTCGCAGATCCGTGCCTCGAAGATCAGTCGAAACGGCATTTCGACTTTCACCCTTTGCCCTCCACCCGAGGAAAGTGCTCGGGCTTGTCTGCTGTCCAGCAACGTTTATGGAGTGCTTCCAGGGCCGACTTCCTCCTCTCGTCGCGCGCGCCCCCCCCCCCTAAAAAATCCCGCCCCGCCCCCACCTGAGACCGAGCAGCTCTCGGCCTCCAGAGAGCTACTGAGCAGGACAACATCGTCCAGAATGGCTGCGAGAAGCCTGCCAGACAGCCTAGGACAACATAAAGACTGCTCAGAGCGCCCCCAATGACTCCAGGATCACCCCAAGATGCTTCCAGAGGATCCCGGATGCCTACAAGAGACGTTCCACGAGGCCTCCCGCGAGGCTCTCAGAGATGAACTGCATTCGAATCGAACAGCGTGTATGTATGCGCGTGTGTGTATGCTTACATACATGCGTATACATGTTGATGTGGCCGCGTCAATGCTGTAGCATTGCCAACTTGCGGCAGCCACACGCCCCCTCTCGGGAACCCTCGGGGGGAGCCCTCGGGAGCCCAACGGGGCTGATGAGACCCCGTGTTGACCCCGCGTTGATCCCACGCGGCTGTGTGATTGTGTGAACCCGCGTTGATCATCACAGCCGCTCCAATACAGAGCCCATGTGACGCGGACAGAATGGGCAGAACCATCTATAGACATGTAGATCTAGATGCACATGAAACGCCGAGGCTTTTCGGCTGCAGATCGCATCGAAGCGAGCTCCAAACATCCCAAAGGCTGCCTTAAGCTTCTCAAGAGAATCCCCCCTGTACGACTGCAACACTGCCCGAGAACAATCCAAGACGGCCCAAGACAGATCCAGGACAATCCCAAGACACACCCAGACGTCCCTAAGACGATTCAACCGAGCCTCTTCGACAGCTTGGTAGAACCCGCGCGCCCATGACGGCCCCGAGACACGCAACGTGTTCCCAACGGGCCCCCAACAAGCTCCCAAGAGAGCCCCAATAGGCCCCCCCAAACCCCCCACGAAGCCTCCAATATGCTATCAAAAGGAGGAGAACGAAGCCGCGGAAAAAGAGGAGGTGTTCACGACCCGCGTTATTTCAGCTCCACCTCCGACCTGCTGCGTTATATGCGTGTATGGATGTGAACACATTTATATACCGATATATGTACTTGTATTTGTGTGCAGTATATGTATGTGCCAGAAACGTCGGCCGCTTCGCGCGCGCTGAGGTTCTCCCAGCTCGCATTGAGATGTCGAGGATTGGGCGACGGTTGCGGACAAGACGTTTGTCCGAAAAACGCTACGGGAACACATCGTAAACAGCCCTTCCCTGAGCACGGAGATCTCCAAGAGGACGAAGAAGAGGACGAGGGGTGCGGCCTGTAGGTCGAGAACGGACAAAGAGTCCAGGAGCATGACTGCGACGAAGACAGAACAGCAAGGAGAGACAGGAGCAGAAGGAGAGCGGAGCCTCTGATGACGAAACACATCATGGAGAGAGAGGGGCCACGGTGCCCCTCGTCCACGTGTGCACCTCCCGATGGCCGTCGGCCCATCCTGCCACCGTGCACGGAATGTTGGTCGGAAACCTCTTTGATGTCTGTTGGGGTCTTCCAGGAAGCCGTTTGGGGTCCTCTCTTGGGTCCTTGGGGAATCTGAAGGGTCTTCTTGGGGGGGTGATTGGGGTCCCGTGGGCGGTATCCTGGGTCCTCTCGAGCTCGAGACCTCGACATGTGAGGAAAGCGAGGAGAGACCACCGTGACCCTCGTCCACGTGTACCCCTCCTGGTGGCCGTCTGCCCCTCCTGCCACCGTGCCTGGGTCGTTGGTGTGGGACCTCTTGAATGCCTCTTCGTGTCCTCAGGGAGGCCTCTGGGGAGCGTCTTGGGGACAAGTTTGAAGCCTCTTAGGGGCGCCTTTCGGGGCCTCTTGCGGGGCTTTTTGGGCACCTCTGGGGGAACCCTTGGGGGCCTGCTGGCGGTCTTCGGGGTCCTCCGGGGGCGGAGGCCTCGAAAGGCGGGCTTGAATTCCCCGCCCCCCCCCTGGGGCCTCTTTTGGGGCCCTCTCGGGGCCGTCTAGGGCGGTCCTGGGCGCCTCTTGGGTGCCTCCTGGGTCGTCTTGGTGCCATCTGGGGCCGTTCGGAGGCCACGTTGGCCCGTCTGGGACCCGTTCGGGACCGAACCCGCGGGGAAGCTGGAGGCCCCAGGGGGAGGTATGGGGGCACTTAAGTGTACATTTGTGGCCCCTGGTGGTGGGCTTCCTGATTGCACATGAATCCGTTGGGAGAGACTCGCTGTACACACCGCGTCGCTTGGTCGGCAAAGGAGCACGGGGGACAGATTCCCTAGCTTCCCGAACTGTGGGAAGCCGGCGCGTCTATACGCCGAGTTCCCTTGCCGAGTGCCTCGGCTTCATGGCCGACCGGACGACGTGATGTATATATATATATATATATATATATATATATGTATATATATATATATATATACACACACAGGTGTCGAGCTGAGGAGGCAAACAGTGCCGATACCCCCGTTCCCGGGACCTCTCCTGGGGTGCATCCTGACCAGAACGTCGAGGCGTCCAGCTGTGGCGACGAGGGCTCGCCGGAACGCGCAGCGGCCTCGGTAGTTCGCTGATCCTCCTCCGGCGAGCCCCCTGGGGTGGGCCTGGCCATGGCGGGTGGTGCGCCCAGCAGTGGTGGGTGGCGACCACGGCCGCGAGCTCCTCGCCGACGCCGCCCCCGCCGCCAGCAGATCTGGCCCGATGCGCGGGCCGTCGACCAGCTGCCCGCGCCGCCCGGAAGGCCACGAACGCCCGCGCCTGCGGGGCACTCCTCCCTGGAGCCTCTCTCTCTCTCTCTCTCGCGTGTCCTCTTCGCAGTCATCCCTCTCCTCGTCTCCCTCCTCTCCTCCCCTGCGCCCCCCCCGTCCTCTCCTTCCCCCGCCTCTCCTCCTTTCCCTCCGCTCCACTCCCCGTTCGCTTCTCCGCGCCTCTCCCGTTCCCCCGCCCTACCCCCTCCTCCTCCTCCTCCTCCTCCTCCTCCTCCTCCTCCGCTCCTCTTCCCTCTTCTAACTCCCTCGCATCCTCTGCCCAGTCCTGCCCCGTTTGCCACCCTCTTCCCCATCCTCTCTCCTCCGTTCCCCCCATTGCTCTTTCGATGCTTCACGCGATGGGCGAATGGGGCAACAATGCTGGTCTGGGGGACGAACCCCACCTCCCCTCGCGGCCCTCCCAGTGCAAACTGTGGGCTAAGAGGAGGTAAACTGCGGGTCAAAAGGAGGCAGCAGGAAGGAGGCAGGAGTGAGCAGGATGCAGGATGCATGAGGCAGGAAGGAAAGAGAACGGCACCTTACAACCCTCCCTGGTGCGCGAAACGCGCCAGGGGCAGCGCCGGAGGCGCCGCCAGGGGGGTCCAACACTGACCCGAGAAATTCGTGCGGACAATCGGAAAATTGACGTTTTTGCCTCTTATTCTTCCTCGAATTCAGCGCATCCGTCCCCCCTCCTTCCCTCCCCCACCCCACCCCCGATCTCCCCCAGAAGGTTGGAGTGAGGCAGCGCGCGAGGGGATTACTGCGGAGGCTGCTGCGAGGGATCGGGGCAGGATGGGCGTCTGGGGGGGCGGGGCTGGGGGGGGGGGCTCAGCGGCGGATCTGCAACTCTGACCTGGTACACGGATCCCGGATCCCGCGTCTGAGGGGTGGACCCACAAACCAGTGCGCCGCTTGCTTTCGCGCAGGCATGAGATCGCTGCTACGGCTGTTCTTGCGACCTCGGATGAGCACGCGACTTCTGAAGACGCCACGTCAGAAGCGACGGCCTCCTAGGCGATGATCGGAAGGCTGTCTCATGCCCCCCCCCTTCCCCCTGCCCTGGAAATGCCCAAATACGGCCTACCATACGCCAGACTCAAGGCATCGAGAAAGACGGGCAAGAAGAAACAAAGACGTGGGGCCGGATGTGGCACGCGGTGGGTGCCTGGATGTCACTTGTAGGGGGACGGGAAGATATCGATACCGCTACCACCCGGACCTCCCCAAGGGTGCGTTCGGACCAGAGTCTCGAGGCGAATCCAGCGGTGGCGACGAGGCCTCCCAGAGGAGGCCCCGGGTGCGAAAACGAAGCAGGGGCGGCGGCACGTCGGCACCTGCTCCTCCTCATGATGACCGCTCTCAGCGCCCCTCAAACGGGGACTCCACTAACGGGTACTTTGGCCAGTGACCCAGCGAACCCAACCCTTCCCAATGCGGGCAACGCTGCACTGCCAGAAAGAGGCTCTACAATGGCAACTTTCAGCAAAGTTGCAAAGAAACCGTTAGTAAGCACTCCAGATGTCGTAACAAAAGGGAGGGGGTCTGGACCCTCCAAGACAAGCCACTTCAGACCTCCCCCGTGGGAGAGCCCTCCAAAACATCGTCCCCAGACCCCCCAGGCCCTCCAAGATAGCCTGGAAGAGACCCCCCCCCCCCCCGAAATGAGCCCCCCCTCCCTTCATTACGAAATCTGGAGTACCCGTTACGGTGATGGGCCTGTTTTCCACCACCACCACCATAAGTTGGAGGGGGAGGGGGTCCTCCTCCTCCTCCTCCTCCTCCTCCTCCTCCTCGTCCTCCTCGTCCTCCTCCTTCTCGTCGTCCTCCTCCTTCCCCCCTCCAACTTATGGTGGTGGTGGTGGAAAACACGCCCATCATACGGTGCCGTGGAAGCTCCTGCCCCCACGCCTGCCGGAGCGCGGGCCCCTGGCCCGGCGGGCCCACGGCGGGCAGCGCGCAGCAGGCGCAGCAGGCGGCCGCCGGCAGCAGGCCGTGGCGGAGGAGGCGCTGCCGCTGGCGCCTCGCGCGGGGCCGCCTGCCGCGCGAGGGGCGGAGACCGCGGGCCGGCGAGCGCGCGCGCGCGCGGCCGCGCCGTCGCCTGGCATGCGGGCGAGGTTCGGATCCATATCCAGTGCGTCTTGGAGCTTTTGGGAAGGAGCGTCACGAGGCCGAGGCGCACTGGGTATGGATAAGAATCGGGCCTCCAGGGGGCACGTTTATCCATATCCAGCGCGCCTCTGGTTTCCGGGGAAGGGAACCCGAAACTCCATATCGCAGTGGACATGGACAGAAGTGTTGTCCGCATGGCAGACACCCGAACTTGATCGGATCGCGAAGTGCGTTCGATCCGGAAACTCGTCGGGTCGCCAGCGGATCGTCCCAGGTCGGCTCGAAACCAGATCGCCGCGCGCGGCTCCAGCGGTAGCCAATGCATCGAACCAAATCGCATCGAAATCGTGGCCCCAAACCGAATCGAATCGAATCGAACCGGGTCGTAGGCGGCCCTGCCTAGCCGCCGCTGCCGCTAGCACCGCGCAAGAGCAGTACGGGCTCAAGACTCCGTCCGCTGTCCAGCTGCTCTTCTGACAGCCGCTGGGCCGAGACGGTGCACGCGCGCGCCAGAGCATGTATGTCGCGCGAGTGTCCAGCCCGTGCGCGAGCATGCATGCGCACGTGCGCCAGTGTAGGCCAGGGGTATTGGACACTGTCACGCATACGTTTGTATGAGTTGACGCGTTGTATGCGCGCACATCACATGCATGCTTGAGCACGTAGCACGTCCATGTGTGTAAGCACCGTGGGCGCATGCGTGTACAGTCGACCCGTATCATAAGGATTCACGAGAAGGATGCAAGGGCCTTGGAAGGCCACTTCGAAGCTTTTCGAGCGGGGCGCGGGCAGCGAAAATGGCCAAGGATGGACCGGGGAGGCAAGGATGCAAGGGTACATTTAGGAACATTGCCCATCCTTACTATGCGGGTTGACTGCACGAAGCCACACTACAGCCTCGAAAAGTTTTCTCCCAACGTCGTCACACACGCCCATGCCGGTTCAAAGCGTGGTGGGAGTGTCCACACCCATGCCGCCCGCGCTTTTGTAGAGTAATCGTGCTATATGTGGACAGCAATGTGTATTCATGACACCGTGCCAGTACTTCGGTTTGTACACGCTCATCACGACGCCTGATAATTAACCATTATGTGCCCAAGAAGACGTGACACATCCGACTTCATGTTGAGACAACGTGGCGCCCATAACTAATGTTACTCAACCGTGCATGCTTTCGTAGATGTGTCGCTTCGCGAGCCTCTTGAAATTTGGCCAATTGCAAGAATTCCCCTTGTGTAATATGCCAGGTCGAATCACGACCGCACATTGTGCAGACGGCCCAAGCGAAACGGAGCCGAAACCATGCCAAACCAGAGCCAAACCAGGCAACCTGAGGACTTTCCACACGAAGCTGGGCCCAATCCAGGCCAAACAGAAACCAAACCAGGCAACCTGTGAGGACTCCTCCAGCGAAATTATGCCCAAACCAAACCGAAACATGGCCAAACCATGCAAAGTTCGAGGACTTCTCAGGGGAAGCAGGGCCCGAACTAGGCACAACCAGACCAAACCAGTCAAACTTCGAGGATGTCTGAAGCGAGGCCGGGCCCAAACCGGGCCAAACCAAGGGCCTAACCAGGCAGACTTCCAGGATGTCTCAAGCGGGGCGCGCGGCCAAAGCGGGGCCAAAACCAAGCAGATTCTGAGGACATCCCGAGCAGAATCGCCCAAACCAGACTCCACCCACTCTCCGGAATAAGAGTCACTCAGAGAAGTGGATCACCCCAGAGGCCCCCCGCCCCGCAGGCGGACGCCCGTTTGGAATCCTCTGGGGGAGACGTTTGGACCACGCGCCCGCTGATGCGGCCAGGGTTGGGCGCGGAAGCCCTCCCTTGTTTTTCCCAACCATCCTGTGGTGTTGAGTCCTCGTTTTGACGAGACGGTCCCCGCGTTCTCCTCCTCCTCCTCCCGCCTCCTCCCTGCTCCCCCTCCTCCCTCCTCCCTGCGTTTCACCCACCCAGTACAGCGCTTCGTGGCCCCATAACGAACTCCACGGAAGGTCCCAACGGCACCGCTTGCACGCGTCAGCCACCACCCAGCACGGCGCTTCGTGGCCCCATAGGGGGCTCCGCCGAAGGCCCTAATGGGACCGCCCGCATGCGTCAGCCACCACTCAGTACAGCGCTTCGTGGCCCCATAGGGAGCTCCACAAAAACGTCACAGTGGCACCGCCCGCATGCGTCAGCCACCACCCAGCACAGCGCTCCGTGGCCCCATAACGAACTCCACGGAAGGTCCCAACGGCACCGCTTGCACGCGTCAGCCACCACCCAGCACGGCGTTTCGTGGCCCCATAGGGGGCTCCACCGAAGGCCCTAATGGGACCGCCCGCATGCGTCAGCCACCACTCAGTACAGCGCTTCGTGGCCCCATAGGGAGCTCCACAAAAACGTCCCAGTGGCACCGCCCGCATGCGTCAGCCACCACCCAGCACAGCGCTCCGTGGCCCCATAACGAACTCCACGGAAGGTCCCAACGGCACCGCTTGCACGCGTCAGCCACCACCCAGCACGGCGTTTCGTGGCCCCATAGGGGGCTCCACCGAAGGCCCTAATGGGACCGCCCGCATGCGTCAGCCACCACTCAGTACAGCGCTTCGTGGCCCCATAGGGAGCTCCACAAAAACGTCCCAGTGGCACCGCCCGCATGCGTCAGCCACCACCCAGCACAGCGCTCCGTGGCCCCATAACGAACTCCACGGAAGGTCCCAACGGCACCGCTTGCACGCGTCAGCCACCACCCAGCACGGCGTTTCGTGGCCCCATAGGGGGCTCCACCGAAGGCCCCAGTGGGACCGCCCGCATGCGTTAGCCACCACCCAGCACAGCGTTTCGTGGCCCCATATGGCGGCTCCGTTGAAGGCCCCAGTGGGGCCGCCCGCATGCGTCAGCCACCACCTAGTACAGCAATTCGTGGCCCCATAGGGAGCTCCGTCGCAGCCCCCAGTGGGACCGCCCGCATGCGTCAGCCACCCAACAGCGCGTCGTGGCCCCGTGGGGAACTCCACCGATGGTCCCAGTGGGACCGCCCGCTTGCGCCAGTCAACACCTAGTACAGAGCCTCGTGGCCCCGCAGGGAGCTGCACAAAAAGACCCCAGTGGCACCGCCCGCATGCGTCGTCCACCGCCCAATACTGCATTTCGCGGCCCCATTGATTGGGAGCTCCACCGAAGGCCCCAAAGTCACCGCCCCAGTACGGCTTTTCGTGGCCCGTAGGGAGCTCCAATGGCCCGCCCGCATGCGACCTCCCACCCAGTACAGCGCTTCGTGTGCCCATAAGGAGCTCCACGGAAGGTCCCAGTGGGACCGCCCACATGTTCCCTCCCCTCCCAGTAAAACGTTTCGTGGCCTCACAGGGAGCTCCACCGAAGCCCCCACTGACACCGCCCGCATGCGTCGGCCACCACCCAGTAGGGAGCTCCACCAAAGGTCCCAGTGGGACCGCCCGCATGCGTCTTCCCCAACCAGCACAGCGTTTCGTGGCCTCATCGGGAGCTCCAGCGAAGAGCACCGATCGCATGGGTCCGCCACGCCCACTGCAGCGCTTCGTGGCCCATAGGGAGCCCCATCGAAGGCCCGAGTGGCACCGCCCGCATGCGTCTCCCCACCCAGTACGGCACGTCCCTCACGCGCTGCGTGGCCCCATAGGGAACTCCACCGAAAGCGGCACCCACAACGCGTTACTCACAACTGCATATGGTTGGGTCCTTCATCAGGATAATTCGGGTGTTGCTGGGGCCTGGGCGTAGCGTGGAGAGAAATACCTCCGAGCCTGTAGGGTCTCCAAAATTACTTTCGCGTTCCACTCAAGGGTCCGCTAGATATGCGAGACTGAGCTCCACCCCGAGGACCTCCACAACGGGCGACGGACACTGTCATGCAACGGGGGGCTGGGGGGCCGAGGAAGCCCACGAGGGGTCACGAAGGACCTTCTGGGGCCCGCGAACTCGTGGCCGACTGCGCCAAGGCAGGCCCACACTACACTGCCGAAGGTTGCCCGCCGTGGAGGGCCCTAAAGACCCTCAGTCACCTCACGGAGGACCACCTGAGCGGCCCTCGGAAGCCAAACGCATCCAGTCAGCACTCTGAGCTTTCCCCTGCCTTCTGCACTTCCCGCCTTGACCGCCCAAGGTGGCTCCGACGGCCCCCTCTGCGGTCCATCGAACGGGCCACTCGGGAGGCCCCGCGAGGCCACGCACGCACAGAGTCACCATCGGGACCGTGACCATCTGCTCGTGCCTGCCTGGCCCCTTGCGGCCCTAGCGGTGCAGCTCGCGGCCGGAACCCCTAGCGGGGACTGCGCTTCCAAGGTCGGCGGCGCGGAGGAACCCCAGGCGCGTGCAGCAGCTGGAGGTGCCAATTGCGACGGGGCAGTGTCGATACGGTGGGGGCATTGAATAAGGAAGCATTGGATAAGGAATCCAGGGTCTGGAAGCCAGCGGAACTCCAATCGCGGATTGGCAGTGGACATTGCCGCCAGGGTCTGAAGGCCCTCGGACACATTCCTTCACCAACGGCCCCCCCCGCAGCGTGGCGCACAGGCAGCAGAACCGCAGCAGGCAGGTGACGGGAGCGAAGGCACTGTGCACGTGCACCGACCCTGGCCAGGCCCGCTCAGCGGCTGGGTGCGCCGCCCTGCGCCCTCCGGGCCTCGCCGCGCGGGCACCTTCACCGTATCCTGGGCCCAGGCCGGGCCCGACCAGGACCGTCGGGGCGCAGGAGACGGGGGCCAATGTAGCCGGGGGCCAGCCAAAGCGCCGGATCTCGCAGGATCCTGCAGGGCGAAGATCGCACGGCACGGCTCCAGGTGCAGCATCCTGCAGGATCCTGCAGGATCCTGCGAGGCCCGACTGACCTGGGTCTGCATTGAACCGGGCCGGTAGATCCCCGAGGTCAGTGCACGTGGGCCGTTCTGGCAGCCAGGCATCCCGAACACCTGCCGCCTCTTGGAGAGTCGATGCGTGCTTCGGCAGGCGGAGCCGCCCTCGCTTCACTTCCGCCGCCCTCCGCCAGCCGTCCGCCGCCCTCGACCGAGGAAGGGGCACCTGAGCCCCCCTCGATGCTCGAAGGCGAGGCCCTTCCTGAAACCCCTCACGAGCACAGTCGCGGCACCGCCAGAAGGAGCGCCACACGAGGCACGAAGGGGCTCCTCCTGGCCACGACGAGCCTCGGCCGCGATGGGGCTCCCCGGCCCACGATCTCTGAGGAACGGCCCAGCAACCCGAGCCCCTCCTGAGCCCAAAGCGGCCCTTACTCTAGCGTCTTCACTGCACAGTCCCTGCGCCCATCCCCCCCCCAAGAAGGCTGCCCTCGGCTGGCCGGGGCGCAGCGCGGGGAGAGCGCGCGGACGCCCGCGGCCATGCGGCAGCGACGACGGCGGCAAATACGACGGCCCCTGCTGCGCACTCCCTCCTGCGGAAGGGAGGAGGAGGAGGAGGAGGAGGAGGAGGAGGAGGAGGAGGAGGAGGAGGAGGAGGAGGCGGGAGGAGGAGGAGGAGGAGGAGCGGAGGAGGAGGAAGGAGGAGGAGGAGGAGGAGGAGGAGGATGGAGGGAGGAGGAGGAGGAGGAGGAGGAGGAGGAGGAGGAGGAGGAGGTCTTCGCCTTCCGAGGAGGCAACCGCGCCCCAGGGCCTGCCAGGCACGGCTTCTCCTGCGCCGCGCCTGCCCCCCCCCCCTCCCCCTTCTCGGGCCGCTCCGGGGCGCGCCGCGGGCAGGAGCGGGCGGACGGGGCGAGCCGCGTCGGCGGTGGTCGCGGGTCCGCTGCGGCGAGGCTCTCGGGGCTCGGGCGGAGGGGGGGCCTCCAGCGCCGGCCCGAGAGGTCCGCGCGGAGCTCCGAAGGGTGATGTCTCTGCCGCCCTCTTCTGGGTCCTCCTCCTCCTCCTCCTCCTCCTCCTCCTCCTCATCCTCATCCTCCTCCTGGGGGTGGGGGCTGGGTGTTCGGGGCCCAGGGATCAAACAAAGGACCCCCCCCCCGCCCACGGCCTCGACCCCGACGTATCGCTGGTGGTTCCTGGGTGAAGTCGGGACCGGGGAAGGGGATGGGTCTTCGCCTTCTGACTTCTGGCCCGCGTGCCCAGCTTCGTGGCCGATAGCGGTGCGCAAGTGGGCTGCCGGTGCGCAGAGGAGACGGACACACCTGCACTATCGCCGCACGCGCGAAGCTACGGACTAAGGAGCGAGCGTGCGAAGGCAGTCTTGAGAATCCTCGGCATGAGCAGACATGGACGAGCACGGGCATGAGCGCACCAGCAGGAGCGCAGCATGCACGAGCCCGGGCACGGCACGGGCTCGAGCACGGACCTCACAGTCAAGGCCTGCACGAGCACGAGCTGGATGGGTACGAGGACGAATGGTGGCTTCCCCGCTCCCCCCCTCTCCTCTTCCACCCGCCTTGCCGGCAAGCCCGAGATCCGCATCCCGTTCAACACGGAGGGCAAAACCTATGATTCGGGCGCCCTGGACACGCGAGAGCCAGACGGGGCGTGCACGCAGAGAGGGGAGACCACGACATGGCCCGAGGCGGGCGAAAAATACCATGGGCCTCCAACGGACTCCCACGGGCTCGGCGGAGCCCGCGAGCCTCAGCACATTGTCTTCGCGAGTCCTCCTGGCGATCAATGGCCAGTGGGGGTCGGTGCGTTCCTCCCCTGGGCCCCCCGCCTTTGGTGTTCGTGATGGGGTCATGGCGTGGTTCTGCGGCGGCGACGATTCGGGCACTCCAAGGACGCTCTCAGCGAGGCGCAGCTGCTGGAGAGCACCCCGAGGCCGGAAAACATCCAAGAACCGATGAAAAGCTAGAAAACTTCACACCTCGAAGCCTCTCGTCCCCCTCTAGCGCTGCCCCTGAGCCATTCCCCTCCCCCCTCTCGTCGACGGCCCTCGAAGCCCACCTCCGCGAGATGGAAATCTGTCCATCACCACCGCCTGGGGGTCCATTCTCGGGGACGTCGTCAGCCGGTGGGTATGGATATAGCCGGCGGGCGCTTCTTAGCCGCTAGCCCCCTGTGGGCGGGTCCCTGCAGTCCGGGAGGGGGGCCTCCGAGGTGGGTGGTTGTAGTCGGGGAGGGGGCCCCTTGCAGCCTGGGGGGGGGGGCGGGCCTTCGTAGTCCTGGGGCGGGGGGCCTACAGCCCGAGGGGGGGCGGCGCGCCTGCAATCCAGAAGGCCCCTGTAGTCTGGGGCCCAATATTATATCTCGTGCGAATATAGAATAAATCGACACACATATATAAATGTAGAGAGAAAGAGAGGTGCTCCCAGGCATCCGGCGCTGCTATTTTCTCGATGCGTGACCCCCAGAGATCTGGACCACCTCCCGATTTTCATCCTGAAGCGTTTTTTGTTGGTGCTGGGGCCTTCTTGAGGGCACCGGAGGTTGAAAATAGCCAAAACCGGACTGCTGCAATTTCTCGGAGCATCGAATCTCTGGGCTCAGAGCATCCCCGCCCCTCTGGAGGCCTCCCAGATGGGATCCGGCCAGGTTGGGTCGGAGGATTGCACAGCATCGCCGATGTACCGCCGATGCAGCGCCGAGGCATCGGCGATGCATCGGCTACGAATCGGCGACGCCGGCGATGCATCGGCGACGTCGGCGTGAAGTACACGGGGATCCACATCGAGCCGCATCGCCGATGCATCGGCGATGTGGCGCGATCCTCCGACCCCGTCTGCAATCGGGCTGCTGAGGAAGGGACAGGAGCATACGAAAAGACACCTCCAGCGCCGTCGCGCCCCAGGAGCGCCAGGGGAAACGGCCACGGCAGGACCTGCGGCATATCGTGCCCCCTTGCGAGTCCAAGCTGCTCCTTGGCTCGGCGTCTTGGCCAGCGACACGCGCCGCCGCCGCCGTCGCCGCCGCCGCAGTCGTCGTCGTCGTCGTCGTCGCTTCGTCGTCGTCGTCGTCGTCGTCGTCGTCGTCGTCGTCGTCGTCGTCGTCGTCGCTTCGTCGTCGTCGTCGTCGTCGTCGTCGTCGTCGTCGTCGTCGTCGTCGTCGTCGCTTCGTCGTCGTCGTCGTCGTCGTCGTCGTCGTCGTCGTCGGCGTCGTTGTCGTCGTCGTCGTCGTCGTCGGCGTCAGCGTCGTCGTCGTCGGCGTCGTCGGCGTCGTCGGCGTCGTCGTCGTCGGCGTCGTCGTCGTCGTCGTCGCCGTGGTGGGGCCTCCGCGCGGGCGCGCTCGGCGCGTGGGGCTGCCCGCCGCGGCACGCGGCACGCCGCCCGCCTGCCTCCTCGGCCATGGCGAGCCGGCACTGAGGCGCTTCGCGCGGCCTCGGAGCCCTGGCGTCAGGAGGCGGAGGAGGAGGAGGAGGAGGAGGAGGAGGAGGAGGAGGAGGAGGAGGAGAAGGAGGAGGAGGAGGAGGGGGAGGAGGAGAGGAGAGGAGGAGGAAGAGGAGGAGGAGGAGGAGGAGGAGGAGGAGGAGGAGGAGGCGCCGCGGACAGCCTGCGGCATCCGGCCACGGACCCAGGGGTCCGACGCTCCAAAAAAGTTACGAGCAACCCATATTCTTGACAGTTTGCGGCCACCGGGGGCTCTCGCCAGGCCTCGGGACCGTCACCAAAACGACTCGGGACGAAAAGCCGGCCCTGGGGAACTGGTGCAAACCTCTGGGGCCCACGCATCGAAAAAAGTGGAGCGGCTGGATGTCTGCGGATGGCCTGGCGCGCCCGAATTCCCTGAGATCCTGACGTCGCAACTCTCTCGGGCTGGGCGATCTCGCCCTCTTCCCAGGCCCCCTCGAGGTATGAACAAATCACGACGGGCGTCCGCTGGTTTCGGCTAGGGGCCTCGGGACCGTCAAAAAGGACTCTGGATGAAAAGCCCGTCCAGGGGATTGGGTCGAGGCCTGTGGGGTCGACGTTGCGAACAAATCGTGATGTCGGGGGTCTGGTTTTCGGGCACCGGGACCTTCACAGATCGACGCGGCTCGAAACATTGCCCAGGAAGGCGGGGTCCAGGGTTCTGGTGGTGATTTCTCACGCTGTTGTTATTTTCGTCGCGTCTTCGGATATTGAGGCTAGGTCCACAGACATGACTGGGCGGTTCAACAAATAAAGACGGGGAACGTGGGCTCTTTTCGGCCTGTGAACCCTCGCTGGCCCCCGGGGCCAACCACATTAACGACTCGCGACGAAAAACCAGAGCCAGGGTGGCCTGGGCCTGGGCCTGGGCCCGGGAGCGTCGTGATGCGCCCGCCTGGCTCGGCCACAGTTCCTGGCGGGCGAGGGGCGGGGGGGAGGAGGAGGAGGAGGAGGAGGAGGAGGAGGAGGAGGAGGAGGAGGAGGAGGAGGGGAGGAGGAGGAGGAGGAGGAGGAGGAGGAGGAGGAGGAGGAGGAGGAGAGGAGGGAGGAGGAGGAGGAGGAGAGGGGAGGGGGAGAAGGAGGAGGAGGAGGAGGAGGAGAGGAGGAGGAGGAGGAGGAGGAGGGAGGGAGGAGGAGGAGGAGGAGGAGGAGGAGGAGGAGGAGGAGGAGGAGGAGGAGGAGGGGACAGCACACGATGAGGGGGGGTGCGAGTCAACTCGCGTACGTATGGGTGGCTTCTGCCGGTGTCCCGAGGAAGCCGCCCGGCGCCAGGGCCGAAGCCAGCTGCGTGCAGCAGGTGTCGTCATCCCCCCTCCCCTCACAGCGGAGGCCAGTCCACAAGAAGCCTTCCACAAGAAGCCCAACCCTGCGACCCCAGGACGTCCACTGGTGTGTGGGCTGGGGCCGTCGCGCTCCCCATCGCAAAACCGTCGAAACCCAAGAAACCCAAGGGCACCCTGGAGGCAAGCAGGGTGTTTCTTGGCACGGGCCTCCACTGTGTGCCCCCCATGTCGTGGTCTCGTCGCCCCAGGACGAAGGCCGACTCCAGCGGGGGCATGCCTGGCAGCAGGCGCCGCCCAGAATCCGAAGTCGGCCCCGGCCGATGTCGGACAGACGACCTTCGACGTTAGATCGGCGGCGCTCGCCGATAGACGGCAGCGGACCCCTTTCGACGCGAGCCAGCAGGATGTGCAAGCAGCCATCGCGTCCAACTTTGGCCTCCTCCCCCGCTGGCGGACGAGACCAACAGGGGGGCGCAGAAGGGCGCTCCTCGGAGGCGCGCGTCCGAGCCGAACGTGTTGCGCATAACGGAAGCTAGTCACCCTAACCCCGGTAGGCGCCCGCCACGCGCCTCGCCCCGGGGGTAGCGGCGCACAAAACAGACAAATCATGTTGCTTCGAGTAATCCCCACCGGAACTTCGGCGTCTGTCACCCTCCTCCTCCTCCCTTCCCTCCTCCCTCCCCTATCCTTCCTCCTCCCTCCCTCCTCCTCCTCCTCCCTCCTGCTCCCTCCCCTCCTCCTTTTCCTCCTCGTCCTTCCCCTCTCATGCTCCTCCTTCTCCTCCTCTCCCTGCCGACGACGACGACGATGACGACGACATGGAGGCGGGAAGGCGCAGCGGACCGAGGCGCGGGCAGCGACGACGACGACGACGACCACCACTCACCGATACAGTGCCCGAAGCAACCTCTTGCTGCGCGGTGGCGGTCTCACAAGCGGGCGCCAGGTCGTCCGTGCCAGCGCCCTGTGCGAACGACCCCCCCCCCGACCTGTCGGGTGGGGAACAAGTCTGACGTGTTGTGTTCTGCGCTGGTATTGTGTGTGTTGCTGTGTCATGCCCTGTTATGTCATGCTCTGTTATGTCATGTTACGCTCGTGTTCGGTCATGCTCTGTCATGCTATGTTCTGCTATTCGCTGTTTTGGTAAATTGGATCATGCTCGAAGAGGGCGCGGGTGGCTGGAAACTTGGGGGATACTCGGTGGACCTGGGTATCTGGGGCCGCGGAACGCAGGGTGGGCCGGTCGGGAGGTCTGCGGGTGGGGAAGGATGGACGCTTTGGGCGGTCAGTGCAGACAATGGCAGGCACCGCTGAGGCCCCAGTCCCCAGTCACCACTCCTGGCCTCCACTTTCGCAGATACTCCAGGAGAGAGGACAAACGTTTTATTGTCATGCTGCTTGCGTTGCGAGGCTCTGCCGGCCGCCACCCGCCCCACGGACGACCCATGAAAGTTCGAATGTTGCGCTCCCGTCGGAGAGGCTCGCCGCTGCTGGGCGGATGGAGCACGAACAAAAAAACAAAGAGGCAGCGCCATGCGTGACAGGTCTCGGCAGGAGGCGCAGACGGTAGTTGTCCGAAAGTTGCGTCCGCCAGCGGATTCCACCCTCATGCGAGGCGGGGATTTATCCAGATCCACCGCCTGGAAACCGACGTCCTGGTGCCCCAGCGGGCGGTTGATACGGACATATGTTGGCCCCCGGGGGGCCGAATATCCATATCCCCATCCTGTGGAGGTCCGCGAAGATCGACCCACCAGGCGGTGGTTATGGATAAATTCCCGCCTCGGATCTCAGTTCCTGTTCACGCACGCGCTGAGGAAGGTGCAGGTCAACGTTGCTGCGAGGGGCGGGTCGGCGCTGTGCTACGCAGGAGGGCAAAAGGTCTTCAGCCAAAACTGACGCGCTCTCGCTGAGGACGTGCTGCTTAGAACCCATAGAGGTATGGCTCGAAAACTCCCTTCACACGGGTGCTCAAGAACATGGCGTAACACACGACCAAAGCCAACCATACTTCCTGATTCCGGAGCTACGACCAATCATCACACAATCAACGCGGATGGGCTGGCAGGTGGGAAATAGGGTGTATACTCGCAGACAGTGGACGTCCAATAACATGATGAAAAAGATGATGGTCGGCACAAACATGTGGCATACTTCAAAGCAAGATCGGAAGGTGGCAACCCATGCGATCCTCCTTCTGGCATGTCAGCGCAAGCTGAGCTTAGCGTGCAATTCAACCCATCGAGGTGCACATCCTCGCAATCTGTATCAGATGGACTCGGATGCGGGCTGCACTGCCGTGGTTGTCCATGTGCTGGGCAGTAGTCCGCAGCCTTAGGGATGGCAGATGAGCAATCCCCAGGCGTTGTGCCAAGGTTCATGTTGAAGCACACTCCAAAACCCATTGAGGGTGGACAATAACAATAGCACGCCCCACCGTCGCCGTTGTGTGTAGAAACACTGGTAGGAGCAGCATCCCCGCCCAAACCATTGCGCCCATCGCTCGGCCAAGTATACGAGGACCACTTAGACGTCCCTCTGTGAGCTTCCACTACAAACACAGGATCGGCACCAGAACCAAGATCAGCGTCATCCCGCATAAGCTGCGTTATGTTGCCAAAGGCACGCCAGACCTGTGTTGCTGTGAACGCATCATCATATCCAGATGCATTTACCAACGTTCCTCTTGGCAAGCGAGTACCATTACCCATCATGCTGCCGCCTGCGTCAACTTTGCCGAGGGGGCACTGAGAGCTCGAACCCCATGAGAGGCCCAAGCTCACAACCGCCAGGCCCTGAGATGGAATCGTCATGCTATATTTGGCAGATTGGCCCATCCCAAGCGCCAAGTCAGCGGGTGCAGATTCAGAAGTCAACCCATCGCCGATGATATGGCCCTCAATTGTACTGCTCCGACAGGTGTGCACAACGCACGACCTCTCCCACTCTTTCCGGTCACTCCTCGAAACGTCGCAGCCTTGCAGAACTGTCTCACCCCAGCGAGGTGCGCAACATGTTTGAATGCTAGCTGGCCGATTCAGCCATACCAGGAAGCCGTAGCCAACACTGACGGCGGGGAAACTCGGCGCAAGGAACTGCTCAACGAAATCTTCCGTGAGCAACTGGCGCCACTTCCTCGTGCCAGGCGGAGCTTGGAAGAGACCGTCATCATCTGCCCAACGGCCTTTATTGATGAGAAGCTGGGATACGCGCAGATGGTCCCGACAGCTCATCATCTGACCGCCGCCAGGGGAAAACTCAGGGCCATCATCTGGATCTACGAAGCCATCATAGGCAAAGAGATCTGGTGGCAGACCCATGGGCAGCGCATACTCTCGTGTGGCCCATGTTGCCGAGCTTTCGTTAGTGACCTTTGATACAAGGTAAGCTAAATGATCAATGTACTTATCGGAGTCGTAAGTAAACGCCTCTCCTGGCTCATATAATCCCGCACCTGTTGTTTGAGTCAAAAGGTGGCGCGTTGTGACACGGGGATAATACGAATCATTTGTAATGCAGTCTCTCCAGCATCCATCGGCTCCTGGTGGCGAGTTACACCAAATAACCGCATCGTTTGTGCAATTTGCTTCCACGACTCTCGACTTGACAAGCTCGTCCTGCAAACATCCACTCGTGCATAACGATGAAGGCGGTCTCTGAGGCCGGTAATCCGACTGAGTGTGGCAATCAAAGGGTGGCGCAACATGCGGGCATAGGCTACGAAGCAACTCTCTGCAGTGTGCACGAGGTTCATAAGGAAGCCTGCGGCGGGCTGGTCTGAGTGGTCGACTGATCCACCTCTGTGCCCCATGGCACGTTGAGGCGAGGCAGACTGCCAAGTGCTGCCTGGTCAGATCTCTGCAATACAGTGGGGGCATTGGATAAGGAAGCATTGGATAAGGAATCCAGGGTTGGGAAGCCAGTGGAACTCCAAACGCGGAATGGCAGTGGATATTGCCGCCGCCCTCATCAGAGAAGGACCCCCCCAGGGGTCTGCAGCCTCCCGTGCACGCTCCTTCACCAATGCCTCCACCGCATTGTGAGAAGGCCCCACTCTTCGTGTCACACCCAGCTGCGTGCATCGCCCCTCCTCCCCGGGGGCTCCCGGACGCCAGGACGCCTCCCTGGCGCTCCCTTGAGGGGCCCCCAAAAGTCCCAGGATGGCTTCCAAGACGACCCAGGCGTGCTACCAAACGACGCTGAGATGGCCGAGTGTTGCCTTCAGGGCGACCCAACAACTTCCACGAAGACCCCAAAGGCACCCAAGATGCCCCAACAAGCTTCCAAGATACCCCCAAGACGCTCTCCAGGCTCGGGAGACCGACACCATTGAGGTTCGTGAAGCTGTTTCCATGTTTTCGCTTTCCGCGCCCCTCGGTCGAGTATCGCTTCACTTGTGGTGTTCTAAAACTCCGCGGCGGGCGAGGGGGGGAAATGAGAAGGATAAGGCTTTTTCAGAAGGCGGCGTGACTTCTCAGAAGCCCTCGCGCCTTCTCAGAAGTTTTCCATGTCTTCGGGGAAAACTTAGGAAATTTATCAGAAGGCCGGGGGACTTCCGTGACTTCTGAGAAGGCATGCTCCTTCTCAATTCTCCCCATCGCTCGCCGCCGAAAAACGCCGCCCACTGAGAGGGACCCAAGACAGCCCACGAAGGCCAAAAGGCGCCCGAACAAGGGCCACAAGAGTGCCTCACGACGGCCCCGACAAGCCCCCAGACGGCCACAGTCTTCAAAGCTGTCCGAGAGGGCTCCGAGACGGCCCAAGAGGCCCACCCATAACCGAAGAGGGCCCCACGGACCCCAGGACTGCCCCACAAGAGCTTCATACAGCCCCATCAGGGCTCAGAAGAACTGGGGACGAGGGGTAGCATACGCGACGGCCCTCTGGCCGGTGCTTGAAAGGTTGCCACGCAGAGTGCTTCGCTGTCACGGTGCCCGATTTGCCGCAAGCACCTGGATAGAACTCGTCTCGAGATCACTGGCATAGCACCGGGGCTTTACCCCATACTCAGCGATTGGCTTATCCAATTCCAGCAGGCCCTTGGCTACAGCCACTCCCACAACTTGGGCGATCATTGTCTTTGCGAGGCTGTCTGCCTCATATCGGGTTTCAGAGGCGTTGTGAAAGTACTTTTCGTAAATCAAATGCCCATCTTTCGCCATCAGAAAACAATATCGAACAGGTGCGGCGAGCTTCATCCGCTCTGCAGCGATGTCCAGCTGCGCTGAGGTGAGTCCGAACATTTCGGGTGACTCAAGCACCCACGCTCCTCGCCCAGGTCCCAGTGATGAGGGGACCGCTTGCGCAAAATCCATAACTAGCATGCATCCAATAACTGAACCCCGAAACATTGCACTCATTAATTACGTGTTGACTTTCAGCTCGCGTCACTTGGAGCTGTGAACGGCACGATGCGAGCCCAACTGACTTGAACCACATAAACGGATGGAGCTTATATCATTATAAACAGTCGTCAGCGCATGATGATTTAGAAGGCCATGCTCATTTCATATCGCGAGGCTCACATGGAGGATTGCAGGCCACAGGCTGAAGAGTTCAACATGTGGCTCCTCAGCCAACATGACAAACAAAAGACCAATATAGCGGGAATTCGCTCCCTCCCCCTTCCCCATGCTCCCCCCCTTGGAGGATGATTGCAAGTCCACAAGGGACCATGTGCGACCTAACTTTTATTGAAGGGCGACTGGAGGACAATACAGCGTTTACCACTTCCGGGAGACCGCGCGGGCCGAGCTTCAGCTGTACACACACACACACACTTACACATCCGCAGTCCAGTGGCAACCAAGTCTCAGACATGTCCCGTCCAATCCTGACGAGACTTCTGGCTCGACCCTTACCGCTGCGACGAGGGACCCCACCGACGGCCATACATTCTCAGGACAGCCAGCAGCAAGACAGGCAGCAGTGTTCGAAGGACCGCGCGGATGTCTTGGGTCGGCGCTGGACTCCCCTCCCAAGCGCGCCACGGGCGGCGCTGGAGGCGCCGCCAGTGGGGGCCAGCGCCGCTCCAAGGAATCCGCCTGGAGCTCCCGAATTGTCCTGCTTCGAATCCCCTCCTTTGTGGTCCTTCATCGAATTGTTTGTCCTTCTTCGAACTGTTCGTCCTTCGTTTCTTCGTTCGTCTTCCTTCGAAGTGTAAGCAGGCGCGCGCTCAGGCAGGAGGCTCCTGCGGCAAAGGGGGACCTCAGCAGCAACACTGTGCTGCGGGAAGGTCTGCGAAGACGAGGCGAGAAGAGGCCGCCGAGGATGCCCTGCAAGGGAGCCCGAGACGGCCCGAGATCGCACGCGCCTCCCACAAAAATCTCTGGCGATCGCTGCCGGGGAGCAGCAGCACGTGGGGTGAAGAGGCGCGCCTCTTGTGCACCTGTCTGGAAGGCGTTTCTTTATGTTCGGCGATGACGGGCGTCATGGGGGGCGGGGGGGGGGAGGGCGGGGCGGGGTATGACGTGACGCCCCCCCCCGCCGTGCGGCTCCGGCACCACAACCGCGCCCGCGCGCACGACGCGACGAGCGACGAGCGACGAGCGACGACGACGCGAGCAGCATGTAAGTGGCGATCTGCCCATTGCGCCTGTGTACACCACAACGCTCGCGTGCACCACGCCGCGCGTGGGCACCACAGCGCCTGCGTACACCGCAACAGCCGTGTGCAACGCACCGCCCGTGTATACCACAATGCTTGGGAACACTACAGCGCCGGTGTACATACACCGCAGCAACCATGTGCAACACAACGCCTGTGTACACCACAGTGCTTGCGTGCACCGCAGCGCCTGTGCACGCCACAGCGCTTGTCTACACCACAAAATCCGCGTGCAACGCAGCGCTGGTGTACACCACAGTGCCTGCGTGCATAGGACAGGTAGAAGGAGCATGCACGTCAGGATCTCATGCGGACAACTAAACGCCACGCCAGGAAAGTTCTGATAATCGAATGCGACGTTTTTCCCTCCTCCCTCCTCCTCCACCTCCTCCTCCTCCTCCTCGTCCTCCTTTTCCTCCTTCTTACCCCCTGTCGTGCGACTTGGCGTTACAACGCACGTGCGCATGTCAGCGTGCACCGCAGAATGGTCGATTGAATCGGTCCAGTTTAGCTGGAGCCTCCTGGACGCAAATGGGGGTTAGGGTGATGCGGGCGGACTCAGGGGGACTCGTAGATTCCAGCGGCGCTCCTTTGTCCATGAAGAATTGTTTTCCATTGTTTTCTCTGGAATCCACACGCGCTCCATTCTGTCACAAGGATTACGTCTGAAATTCTATACACAACAATGGTGCTGTGTTGCACACGGCTGATGTGGTGCACACAGGCGCCGTGGCGTACACAGGCACTGCAATGCACGCAAGCATTGTGGTGTATACTGGTGCTGTGTTGCGCACGGCTGATGTGGTGTACGGAAGCGCTGTGGTGTACACAGGAGCTGCTGTGCCCGCAGGCACGGTGGCACAAACTGACGGTGTGTTGCACGCGGCTGCTGTGGTGTACATCGGCGGTGTGGTGTACACAGGCACTGTGGTACACGCGGGCACTGTGATGTACACAGGCGTTGTGGTGCATATCGCCACCTACATGTTCGTGCTACCCGTCCTCCGTCATCCCTAACCATTCCCAAACGCCGCCGCCGCGAAACGTGACGTCATCGACCCCCTCCCCCCCCAAAGGATTGCCGTCATCGGCCCGGACTGAAAAACATGCTCCAGCCGCGTCCGCGCGCACGACGACGATGAGCGACGAGCGACGAAACACGAGCGACGACGACGAACGACGACGACGACGACGACGACGACGACGACGACGACGACGAAGACGACGACGACGCCTGGGGACCACACCTATCCGGATTTCTACGCGGACACCTACGCGGATCCCAATGCGCACGGCGGCATTGCCCGGAGCGCACTGGGGGGGGGGAGCGTTACGTTAGGGGGGGGGGGGGGAGCGGGGGCCATGACGCCCGTCATGCCCCAAGCAATAAAGAGATGGCCTCCTGGCCGACGGTGGCAGTCTGGGGGCCATTCGGGGCCCTTCCAAGTCCACTTTCCTGCACGACTCCATCTTGAGCAGGGACGACCGTCCTGGCATTCCTATAGGCCTACCACGACATGTTCTTAGAACCCAGAAATGTTCCAAGAACAAAACAATGCTCTTAGAACATGAGCCCGATGTGTGAAACCATCATCGTCCAGAAATGCTCGAAGAACACTCCGTGGAAACCACAAAAGGCCCTTGGAGCACTCCTTGGTGGGACTAGAGGGCGAGCCAGCACGCTTCGCCACTGCTCGACCCTCTGGCCAGCACCCCTCGAGGTCCACCCCCGACCCCGGCCGCTCTCGGCGCCTGAGCCCGGCCGTGGCGCCGAGGCAGCCCCGACCAGCCCCGAGCTCACCCCCCACCCCCACGCGATCCACGAGCCCCAAGGCGATGACAAACGCGGGGGATGCTCCCCTAGAAGCTCGGGGTGGGGGCGGGGGGGGGGGAGTCCTCGAGGCTGGCACCGAGGTGATGCGATGCCAATCTCGGGGATGGGGATGGGGACGTGCTCTTCGGGCCGGCGTGGGAAAGCAGAAGATGCCGCTGCTCCCCAGACCTCTCCAGGGGCGCGCTCTGACCAGGACTTCCAGGAGAGTCCTCCCCTGGCGACGAGAGCCTTCCAGGACAAGCCGCGCTATCGGTGCTTCCCGCCACTGATCGGGCGTTGGCAGGACGGACTGGGTTCAGTTGGACCTGGTTTGGTGATGTGTACCAGGGGACGCCCCTCCGCCCCGGTCCACTCGCCAGACTCGGGGAGACGTAAGACTCGGGTACGGGGGACGCGGGTTGGCCTGACGGGGTCCATCATAAAAATGACGAGACGCAATCTGAAATTTGACGCGAGCTCCCACTGCAAACATCCCACGAAAACTGGACCGTCAAAATCCAGGACACGCTCGTCAAAAAACGTCGGCAAACCCGAGTTCCGGCTTACCCGAGTCTTACGTTCCCCCGACAGACGGGTCGCCACCCGACGAAACGCCAGCTACGGCAGACCTGGTGGAGCGACTCGCGTCCATTCCGGGAGCCTCGGGGGCCCAATCACTACAACCAGCTCCCCTTCCCCTGGCCATATACCCGACCCGAGATGGCCATCCCTCCCGCCCGGCGCCACGAGAGGGCCGTGAGCCGTGGGCCGGCGCGGCCCAGCCTGGGGCGCCCCGCGACGCAGGCCGGGAGTCGACTGCACGCAAGAGCGAGCCGGAGGTCGGGAACTCTCGCATGGCGTGACGCCGCGGCGGCCACGGCGACACGACGTGCCCTGCGAGTGGATGGCGTGTGGCTCCGCTCATCGTGGCGGAAGGCTCGGTTGAGCGGGGACCGACCGCCCCGGCATTCCTATAGTCCTACCACGACATGTTCTTAGAACCCCAGAAGGCCCTAAGAATCAAAGCAATGTTCTTAGAACAGAGACCCGATGTGCTAAAACAGGACAGGCTCCGCCAGAAGTGTTCTGAGAACGTCTCGTGGAAATCGCCGAAGGCTCTTGGAACACTGCTTGGTAGGGCTGTGGGCGAGCCAGGACGCTTCGCCACTGCTTGACTCGGAGAGGCTCGAGGCATGGGCGCCTGGGCACCCGAAGCGGATAGGCGTGCCGCGCAGAAGCGTGGTGGGGACCAGCAGCGGCGGAGCGACGCGCGGCTCGAGCGTGCCCGACCGTGGGCCAGAGCGACCCGTGGTGCGCGGCCTTCGGGGGCCGCGGGCAGGCCAAACGCAGGCGCGCAGGCCGGTGCTCTGGACGCCCGAAATGGGTACGGGAAGAATGGGCGCAATGCCCAACAACAAATGTTGTCCCAAACCAGCAGCGGCCGCTCTTGGGCAGGCGGACCCTCTGTCTCGAAGGGACACAGGCCGCGGCGGCGTGGACAGCGAGTCCTGCTCAAAACGAGCAGGATCCGCTGTTGGGCATTGTACCCGTTCTTTCCGTGCCCATTTCGTTCGTGCAGAGGTGCGGGGGGGGGGACCCCTGCAGGCCCCACCAGAAGCCGCTCCGCCGATCGCTCGCTCTTACGCGAAGCCGAGGGGAAGGCGTCCTGCAGAGCAGCGCGGGCAGCGCCAGCGCCGCCCTCCAGAGCAGCCGGAGCAGCGCCAGCGCCGAGCCGGCGAGTGCGCCGAGGCTGCCGGCTGCAGGGTCGGGCGCCTGCGCGGCGGAGGGCGAAGCAGCAACCACCGCCGCCGCCACCCTGTGGTCTTGGGTCCTCGATTTGAATATCTACGCACCGCCCCGCATCTCCCTCCTCCTCCTCCTCCTCCTCCTCATCCTCCTCCTCCTTCTCCTCCTCCTCCCTCCTCCCATGCCTGCCTCTGCTTTCCGCATCCCCACGTCGGAAAAACCCAGGATACGCTTCGTGGCCCCATGGGGAGCTCAACCCAAGGCCC